AGTCCAAATCCCTCCTGCTATAAAATTGCAACATGATGTAACCCAACACTAGTTACCATGGTGACAGATGTCTGGTTCTGGTCATTGACCTTATTTGTTTGGAGAAGAAGAAGAGGAAAAAGGAACATTGCAAAAACAACGTTTTCCTTCTGGGAAGGGAAACATATTGAATGCTTAAAGCATAGTTTGTATGCACTACCATAATATGTGTCCAAAATTGCATTTGACTTAAAACTCAACCATACCATTTTTGGACATTCAGAGCTATTCTACCATTTCAGACATATCATTAAATATCCAGAGCTAGAAAAATAGTCAAAAGATTGCTTGCAGAACACATTAACACTGTTTTATGCAAAGCCATGAGCTGAGATTCCTGGTAACCCTTTTGTAACCCTCTTTTCACAGGATTGACACAGAAGAAGAGGTGACAGGTCTGGGGTCCATCATCAAGCAGGACCATGTGTTCAGCTACTGTAGCTATCACGTAGACCTGTGGAGAACACAACACATCCACAACCTCTTCACAACCATGGGGTAAGTTCAACATTTCTCACACCCGAACATCCGAAATTTCAGACTTCTGGGAAGTATTTTGGTTTTGGTTTTCTAGAATGTATTGGAACTGTGGAGGGCTTTCTGAATTCCTCCATATACCAGGTCACATACACTGCTCACTTACTCCCAACGTTAACTAAAACTAGAAAGGTAACATTTGCAAAAGCAAAATGCCATAATGTTTTACCTTCGCATAGTGGTCTGCCGGTGTTAATTGTTACTCAAGTACATTCATATATTACATGTTTATGGTCAGACAGGAGTATAAATCCCTCCTGCTATAAAATTGCAACATGATGTAACCCAACACTAGTTACCATGGTGACAGACGGCTGGTTCAGGTCATTGACCTTATTGGTTTGGAGAAGAAAAGAAGAAGAAGAAACAGAGCAAAAACAATATATTTTCCTTCCATAAACATAAATATAAATATGTAACCCAAAACATTTAAGTGGCTCCCATGAGCCTTGCTTTGTGGTGAATTATTAAAAAATTGTAAAAAGATTTAAAAATGATTATTTCCTACAGGAGCAAAGTGAAGTCCATCAAGTACACAGAGCACAAGGGTCAGCTGCCACCCAGGGCGATCTGTGTTTGTGAGGACTCCGCTGTACGTATCATCGCCCCGGCAACGGGAAATGTACTGACGACCGTGCTGCTGGACAGCAACAGGACCATCGTGGACGCTGTTTATGCTGAAGCAGAAGGTATTTTCCCTTTCTTTCTGTATCACTCAAAAGTCAGTATGTGTTCAGCACCAGGGACAGTGTGTGATGGTAGTTCAGTACAGTGAGTGTGTGATGGTAGTTCAGTACCAGGGACAGTGTGTGATGGTAGTTCAGTACCAAGGACAGTGTGTGATGGTAGTTCAGCACCAGGGACAGTGTGTGATGGTAGTTCAGTACCAGGGACAGTGTGTGATGGTAGTTCAGCACCAGGCACAGTGTGTGATGGTAGTTCAGCACCAGGGACAGTGTGTGATGGTAGTTCAGCACCAGGGACAGTGTGTGATGGTAGTTCAGCACCAGGGACAGTGTGTGATGGTAGTTCAGTACCAGGGACAGTGTGTGATGGTAGTTCAGCACCAGGGACAGTGTGTGATGGTAGTTCAGTACCAGGGACAGTGTGTGATGGTAGTTCAGTACCAAGGACAGTGTGTGATGGTAGTTCAGCACCATGTAGAAAACATGTCATTGTACACATGTTAGTAATAACATTGGCTTTTCTTGTTTTTTTCAGAAACAATGTTTGTTGCACTTGACCATGGAGATCTGGTGAAAGCCTTCACTACCAGCAACCCCTGTACCATCAAGGATGTCTTCCATCCTAATGCCCGTAAGCATTCCAAATTATCATTTCTCCCAAGTGCTGTACAGTTTCTCAATCAGCCAATATTGGGAATCGTGTAGGGAGTTTGGTAGAGGGTAGTGTAACTTAAGTAATTTTTGTGAACATTAGTGCATGTACATGAAATTTGAGATTTTGTTTTACGTGTGTCTGTCTGTGTTTTTGGATATTTGTGGTCAGCAGAAGATAAGAATTTCTGAATGGATTATGATGATATTTGGTATGTGGGTAGGTCTGGGGAAGACAAAGGTCAAGGTCAATTTTGGGCCACCTGGCAGCTTTCCTTGGTACTGAAACAAATCAAGTTTCTATCTCTTTCTGCATATACATGTACATGTATATGTTATGGTCTTCACTCATAGGAAATTCAAACTCTACTGGATAAATCACGGACTGGATAAATTACGGACATAATTTCCAGACGTTTCGAGTGGTGGATGTCATTTAAAAGTCTGTCAATATTGTTTCCCTGGATGTCTAACCTTCATCAACGTTTGTTTTGGTCTTGTTATAACTTGACACATTTCCCCCTCCCCCAGGAGGAGAATGGTACAACTGCCTGTGTATCTATGAGTACGTGGTGAACCCGGCTATCCAGTATGTCACCTGGCAGAAGACCCTAAAGGCAGACAGCGAGGGAATCCTCGCGTTACGTCCCAAGAGGTCCATCGTCCCCTCCACCACATACACCAACCGGACTATCGTACTGGGAGGACGCAAGGACGGACACATAGCTGCGCTAGACTGGGAGACTGGGCTGCCTTACTTCAAAACTGATGTAAGAAATTCCTCTCTGATATTAGTTCAGATGCAGCAAATTCTTTTCCATTGATCCAATCAAATAAAGCTGGGACATGCTTTTGCACCACGCCTGCCTCTCTTTAACCAAAATGTGTGTCTCCCGCAGGCCCATGGCATGAGGGGTGTGATCAGCATGGTGGCAAACTACAAGGAGAACCAGATCATCTCTGCAGGCAGAGGTATGTACATTGGGCCTGAAATACTGCATTTACCTGTATATGCACGGAAGTGGTGGTAAAGGTGGTGGGATTTTTGCAGGTATTTCTGATGTCTATTTCTGAAATATTGAAGTTTGTTCTCTCCCAGTTGACATGTGAAACAAGATTAAAATTATGAGAATTAACCTCCAGCCTGCTAAGGTAGCCACTTGGCATCAAACTTCATATTGATTACAAGGTTAGACCGCAGGGAGAAGGCTTATTATATTGGTTGAGTTGATTAGATTTGGATGCTGACACTTGACTATGCCCAGTGGCAATGCTTTCTTCACTTTGCAGCTCAAATTTTTTATCAATGGAAGGCTTTAGGTGGTTTAGGATGAAAAAGGAACTGTGACATGTTTTTTTTTTTTTTTTGTAAGCCTGGAACTAGTTCCCAACGATTTTTTGGACTTGAACCTAAACATTTTTACAAGTCTGGAACCGGTCCAGCAAACCAGTACACAGCACTGGTCTTAGGTTTCCAAAATTTGAAATGACTGGTGATGTGTGTTGCTTAAAACTACGCCTGTCATTACCATTATCATCAATTCATCCTTTGTCCCTCTTTAATGCACATGTTACTAAACATTTCTTTTGCTTGTTCTCCCCAGATAATGTGGTGAAGGTGTGGCGTATCTTCCCGTTCTCGGAGGAGGCCCTGTCTCCGCTGATGTCGTTCTACTGCGCGCAGACGCCGCTGTACATGGCCACGCTGAAGGAACGTCTGTGTGTGGGCTTCCAGGAGCCTGCTACGGCCACCTACAGTGTGGTCATGTATAACCTGGTCGAGAAGAGTAAGTACCAGTCATGCCTTCAAATATCAGAGTTATCAACCAAGAATTAAGCTGATTAAAAACTCGTATTTCCCCAGAACTCATTGCCACCAAGCACAGTTGGGGCATCATCACTAGAAATCTTTAAACAGCTCCTGCAATTAAATGTGCAAAGATTGAATGTAACAAGTCATTAAGTGTGATATCGCTAGCTGACGCCGTGCCGCGTGCCTTCGAAGCTGGTGTGTTACGCCGAAGGGCGGTTATACCGGCTATACTGATACAGATACCGAAATTAAAGGGGCACACCCCAGTTTATTTTGTGTTTTTTATTCAAAGCTGCACACCCTCAAGTGTATCGACTGTCTTTGCCAGGGACTAATTCGGAAGGAAAAAACTGTATATGGGATAAAAAGAATATCTCTTCAGCTACAAGACCAACTGAGTTTGGCTTCTTCAACCAACCTTAAATTTTGGTAAAATTAACAGAAAAAAACATTATTTTCACTCCAAAATTTGTAATATTCGCATAGGATAATCCTATACAAAAAATTATCCCGGCAGAAATGACTGATGCTGGCTCAAAGACACAAACCTTTTCATTACCCAAGCCAATTATAAAAAAAATCCTAGCACTATAATTGTTTTTAATTGTCTAGAGTAGGTTGACAGCACATGAGTGGGGAAGATTGACAGACAGAATAACAGGAGGTCAAAGGTCTCAGAATCTGGCTGGGAGGCAGCAGGAATTGGGGGAATTCAGGAAGCCGGAAGTTGAAAATCTCTGATTTCTTGTTCAGAAACAGAAATCAAAATTCATGTTAGACTGTTCGAAACATTATGTGTAGTAGAATATCTGTATCAAAGTGTCTCGCTTTGTTTCAGACCGGTTTGACCACCGGCCAGATGACGACCACATTGATGACATCACGGCGTTGGCGTGCTGCCCACGGATGAAAGTGTTCGCTTCCTCCAGTCTGGACGGGACGGTCAAGATTTGGAACGAAGAAAACAGCCTCATCAGGTATGCTAACAATGCACGTTCCTGGGTACTGTGAGTCTTTTATATGCATGTATGTGCAAACAAACAATTAATAAAATAAACATTTGCAACATTTACATTTGTTAATTCTTACTCAAACACATTCATATAAAAAATTGTATGGTGACAGGAGTGTGAATCCCTCCTGCTGTAAAATTGCAACATGTTGTAACCCAACACCAGTTACCTTGGTAACAGACGTCTGGTTCAGATCATTGACCTTATTTGTTTGGAGAACAAGAGGAAGAAACTGAGCAAAAACAATATGTTTTTCTTCGGTAAACATAAATAAAACATTCCCCGTGGTTTCCCATGTGTTGTACTACAAAATTGTTTCAAATACAAATTCAAAACACTGTGAAAACTTCCTTTTCCCTATCATCACAGAAAAAACACTGCGGAAGTAAGTGAATTTACAAATTATAGTGTTAACTAAAGGTTCTTTGCACACCTCCAATGTGAATTACCTGCCAATGTTTCAGTAATTGTTATCGGTTGTGGACAGAAATGCCTTGACTTCACTCCCATTGATTTGAATTTGATAACTAGACTATTCACAGATACTCAATACTTCTTCATTTAGTAGTTTGTTTTATAGTAAAGGCTCTAGTAAAAAAAACTCCATAGCACTAGACATATATGTGTGTGCCAAAGAGGTCCTGTAATGATACGGATGTTCTCTCTCTCTCTTCCCCTCCAGGATTATCAAGCTGAATGTTGCTCCCCACAGTGTTGCCTTCTGTAGTCAGAGAGGTGATCTACTGGTGGGCATCGGGAAACACCTCCACAGGATAGAATATAACCACTGTGAGTACTTAGTACAGAACACCTCCACAGGATAGAATATAACCACTGTGAGTACTTAGTACAGAACACCTCCACAGGATAGAATATAACCACTGTGAGTACTTAGTACAGAACACCTCCACAGGATAGAATATAACCACTGTGAGTACTTAGTACAGAACACCTCCACAGGATAGAATATAACCACTGTGAGTACTTAGTACAGAACACCTCCACAGGATGGAATATAACCACTGTGAGTACTTAGTACAGAACACCTCCACAGGATAGAATATAACCACTGTGAGTACTTAGTACAGAACACCTCCACAGGATAGAATATAACCACTGTGAGTACTTAGTACAGAACACCTCCACAGGATAGAATATAACCACTGTGAGTACTTAGTACAGAACTTGATACAAACATGCTTAGTTTAGTCATATCAAAATTAGAAGACTCTGAGCCAGACATAAGAAAACATGTAAAACTGAGACTCAAAAACTTCAAAAAAAGAGAGCTGTATAATTTTTTTTATCCCTATGTCCGTGATTAATGTGTAATTTTTTTTAGTTTTTTTTTAATCAAAAAGGACAAACAAGAAAAGTTGTATAGTCAAACATGACCAGGAAACCACCTCTTCAATCTGGCCATAACAACTTTTCGCGGCCCCACCTTTATTCAGTGACTTACCAACCTGATGAAACTATTCATAAACAAATGAAATTGATGTTGAAAATGTTTTTTTTTTTCCTTCCCAGACATGCCCAAGACGTACATTTTCCGTATGGTGTCCATGCAGTTCCCGGAGCCCTTCCAGGAGGAGCCAATTTCCTTCAACAACGAGCACGTGAGCCAGCTGAACCAGGGGGACATCAAGAGGCTGAAGAACGCACACTCTTCTCTCTTCAGGTGGGAGTTAGTTGTAGTGTGTTGAACCTGTTCTAAGTATTTTTATTTAGCACTTGTAGATGTAGTGAGATACCAGAGTATGACTCATATCACTGTAATAGACCAGTTTATCTTTCAAGGGATTGCAAGAAATGCTTACGTCACAGGAAGGACATTTCTAATAGAATGCCGTTATAGAACCTGGAAGTTGAATGCTGCTTTTGCTTGTGGTGTCCCCCCTGGCAGATAACTGTGATGGTCTGCATTCTGCTCTCAGATACCAGAATCGGCTATCTGGTGAGATTGGGTGGAAGGAATTAGGGGACAGCCATCCTTCAGTGAAGAATCAATAAGCTTTAGACTCATTGTACAAGCCCAGGTCAGGAACTTTCAGAAATTAAAGTTACACACGTCAGTAAATCTGCTAGGGGGACAACGCAAGCAAAAGCCAGTTCCAGAATGGTGTTCTATTCGAAATGTCCCCCCTGTGATGCAATCAGCAAAAGGTAAACTGGTCTATTGTACCTAATAGTATATAGAACTGCTTTTTTTTTTATCACCATTACCTGTACTCAGCTTGTAAGAGCATAAATGTTTTTACATTGCTTAGAAGAAAATTAGTCTGATCTAAGCTGTGCCTTCCCAACAGATTTGACCACTTCATGGACATTCTCAGTGTAGAGGAGGAAGAAGAGCTACACAGGGAGGAGAGAGAGAAGGAACAGGTAGACTTAGACATTTTTATCAATAATGATTCATTTGTCTCAGGCAATCAACCTATAGCACATGTATATATAGTTAAGAGATGACTTTTGGAAAATATCAGGAGAAAAAATATTTTACTTCTTAATCTCAGGTCTGCTGATAATCACTCAGCCGTTCAACATCACTCAGTTCTCATTGTTTTGTTTTTGATTTGATTTATTTATTTGCACAAATAAAAACAAATGATAACAGTAATCAACAAATGCAAAACAACTAAAATAAAAACAGTGTGAAGGAGGAGGAAAGAAGCCTTGTCCTTCCCCTAGAAACTTACCAAATATTAATCATGAAGCTAACAAATAAACTAAAGAAAACTTACATATAACTAAACAAACACCAAAATTAACATTAATCAGGAAGCTAACAAAATAATAGCTAATGATAAATAAACTAAAGAATACCTAGATACAATGTATAACCAAACAAATCTCAGATTTATATATAAGCTAATGCAATGCTACAGTGACAAAAAGATCAATTTAGATTTAATTTAAAATTAAAGTAATGTACATGTATACTAGAACACATACAGCTGAAACTTTACAGAAAGGAAAAAATAAAGAGCAAATTATATGTCAGATGAGTGGTTGTTTAGTAGGAAATGTTTTAACATGTTTTTCTTCCCAGATCTACGCAGTCCTGCAGGCACGAGACAACGAGCTTCTCAAGATCAAGAGCGGAGAGCTGACCAGACAGAAGAAGCCCAAGCTAAACAAGAAGAAAGTGAAGAGTGAGGCTTTCAAGAAGTACCTGGACCTCTTCTACAGGAAGACTCACGACATCAAGGTGGGAACCCTTCAAAAGTATCTTTTGAAAAATCATGGTATATTTTGTGTCAATGTGTTCATATATACATTGACATAACTGAAGGATTTAAATCACAATTTATTTTTTATCATAAACTTGAGTCTGACTCAACAGTTTCATTTCTGCACCAGGTGAAAGACCCTGATGACTTTGACCCTGACACGTACTTCCTTGAGCCACCCGAACCAGGTAAGGTTTACTCCTTTCAACTTTGCAAAAAATTACAACATGCGTGTGGCGTGTTCCATAAAAGTTGATAACATAACTAGAAAGGTAACATTTTCAAAGCAAAATGCATGATGTTTACCTTCGCATATGGTCTGCTCTGTTGATTCTTACTGTACTCAAAAACATTCTTGTGGTCACGACAGGAGTCTAAATCCCTCCTGCTATAAAATTGCAACATGATGTACATGTAACCCAACACTAGTTACCATGGTGACAGACGTCTGGTTCAGGTCATTGACCTTATTTGGAGAAGAAGAGGAAGAGTAAACAGAGCAAAAACAGTATGTTTTCCTTCGAAGGTAAACATAAATACATTTTGTGCTATTGATTTGGGTAATATATTAGTATCACACTGTATTAAATTATTGATGTTTTTTTTTCCACAGAGGAGGACCCCTACATGCCAGAGAGAGGTCCTCTGGGGTTCTTCCCTCCACGATCTGCTGCTGTGAAGTCTGTCCCCACCACACCAGTGACCTCCCTGTCACTCGACAGGGATAAAAAGATATCCAGAGAGCCTACTGGTAAGGGACAAAATGTGGACCCTTGGAGCTCTTAATTTATTGGTCCATTAATTAAGATAATTTATTGTGTCCAATTAAGATACCCGGGATAATTAATTTATATATTGTGGTGTTTTCCTTTATTTGTACTCTGGTGACAGACATTTGGTCCAAGTCCTTGACCTTATGTGTTTGGAGAAGAAGAAACTGAGCAAAAACAACATGTTTCCTTCTGCACGGGTAAACATAAATAGTTGGTTTGAAAACAAAAATAACTATAATTATAGCAAATGACACTGAGAGATTAATATATACATATATATATACCAAGCTTATAATGTTAATCCCTGTTATTCTAAATGTAATCATTATGATGTTACAATGTAGGTGCAATATATATATCAGTCATTTTTGCGACTCCCAAAAGCTGATTGTTCTTTCCTATATGTGAACATCAGGAATAGAGTCTCTACCAGAGGGGCCTGTAGAAGAGGATGTAGAGGAAGTGAAGGAAGAAAAGAAAGAGGAAGAGGAGGAAGAAAAAGAAGAAGAGAAGCCCCCGATGACGTACGTGATCAACCCCAGCGGGTTCATCCCTAACTCCATCCTGGTGAGATTGCTGTGGCCTGCGGAGGAGATGGAGAAACAGAAGAAGAAGCAGGAGGAGTGGAAACCTCCGACTCTCACGGCAGAGCAGCTCGCACAGATAGAGGGCAGCAGGAAGGTGGGTTGGAAAGACCACTCTTCTTGGGCACAACGTTGTCTTAAAGTTCTGATTGAAACACATCCAAAGACTTGACTCACAGACACATATTAGACTTCTTCTCAAAACCCTTGTCCTGCAGTGCCTAACAGTTGTTGGGTTGCACAATACAGAACTAGCCATATAGCACCCTGTATAGGTATGATTTTGGGGTGTTTCTTGTGCAACGCATCAGACCAAAGCGAAATGCAATGAATGCAGAAGTAACTATGCCACCACAGGGCAAAAAATTTAGGTCTTAATATATTACCTGATTAAGACATGAAATTATCGAAAAATATTGTGTAAAAAATGCCAGCAGGACAAGGGTTAAAGTTCTGATTGAAATGCATCCAAATGCTTGACTCACAAAAACATTATAGAATTTCTTCATAAATGGAGTTGTTCCAAGGACATACACAGTCATGTACTTCTTACCAACTTATAACTATAAGCAATGAAATCCTTGGAAACTTGTTGAATGAACTGTGCTTCGCTCACTTCTGAGTCTTTGCTCCATATACAGGTTTAATGTTGATATCTGTCACACTAACTTGTAATGATTGCTGCTGTTGAGTTATCTGAATGAGCTTTACTAACATGTCTCTCTTCCATGCAGACCTAACATTGCTACCTTATGCTATAATAATATACTAACTCAGTCTTGAACTACTAACATCCTTTTAAAACATAACAGGAACATCAGCTTCCATCTACTGTGGATGCAGAGCTCCCACAGTCCACTCCCTTCAACTATCAGCTTGCTCTGATGGTCGTTAACAAATTTAAAACCCGTCGGAAAAGACGCACCTTGCTACATCGGCTTAAGGCTGAACTTAAAACGAGAACGGATCCTTCCAAACCGGTCGAAAAGTTTCCTTTAAGTTCTGCCGAGAATGTTTCTGTACCTCTAAGTCCACTCGTACAGAAACAGGACGCCACTGTGCCTTTAAGTTTTCTTGAGAGGGAAGCGGACACAACTACTGTACCTTTAAGGTCCCCTGAGAGGACACTGGATGCCAGTTTACCTCTAAGTCCTCTCGAGAAGAAGCAAGACACCAGCTTGTCTTTAAGTTGGCCCGTGAGTTTGGAGTACCCGTAGCTGTGACGTGACTGTGTCTTGTAGTAGCTGTCAATGCATGCACCTGCAGTTCTTGTGAAAAATGCAAGATGGCATCACTAAACTGTGTAGACCACAGTTGTCTTTGTACAAATGTACAAAATTTAATGTACATGTACTGAGATGGCTAGTCTCTAGTACCAGCACAGAGAAAGTAGCTTTGTGTATGTGGTAGAACTTGCACCTCAAAACTACATTAATTTTATGCTGTACTCTCACCACAACATACATGTATCAAGGACCTTGCATGCTTTCAAAGGCTGAAGTTGATTTCAAATTTCAAATTTTGCTAAATGCACTTGAATTAACATGTCCATTGCAACATTTCTTCAACATCATTGTATATACTTTATTTGGTCTTCAGTCATTAACATTTACAATACTGTTGTAAACATACATGTATCTAAAGTATGGTGTCTTTCCAAGTCTAAAGTAGACATATACCAAAAAGCAGTTACTCAAGCAACTGGATATGATTTTGGAAATGGTCAGACATATCAGCTAGTATCCACTAGCTTTCGTCAGTGACTGAGAGACCAGAGAAGAAATGCCTCGGCTTGACTTGTCAAATTTTTTGACTAACATTTTGTCTAACTTGAAAAAGTGAGACAAGTCAAGACGAGGCATTTCCCCTCTGTCACTGACGATAGCTAGTGGATACTAGCTGAAACGTCTGGCTGTTTCTGAAATCATATCCAGTTGCTTGAGTAACTACTTTTTGGTGTATCTTATTTACCTGGATGTCTAACCTTCTTCGACGTAAAGTAGACATACATGAAGTATCGATCTCACACATGTACCCCTCATGTATATCCAGAAACCTGAGTCTGTGGAGGAAGATTTTGAGGATGAGGAGAAGACCTGGTCAGATGAGGAGGAGGAGCCAACGCCCATGCTCTCCAAACTCATGGAGAGGGCCAAGAAGCCCCCCACCCCAGGTCAGTACTGGGAGGAACAGTCACTCAACACTTGTAATAGTAGCCTGGTATCCAGCCCTATTGTACCTACTGGGTCTGGGATGCACAATCACTTAATACTAGTCTTGTAATTGTAGCCTGGTATCCAGCCCTGTTGTACCCACTGGTACTGGGATGTATAATTATAGGATAGACAATCTATTACAAAAATAGCCTGGTATCCATCCATGTTATAGGGCCCTTTATGTCCCTTCACAAATATGTGAAACAGTAGGTACAAACATGTATAAAACTGGATACCAACATAAGTGTTATTATGTTTTGATAGATACATTTTGTACAGTACAGTCCAACATGTCTATGGGACCACACAAGGGACTTGAAGGAGATGGTCACAGTAGACAGCCTGGCTCTTTAGGGTAGTCCTTAGACTTAGAGGTGGCCTTTAGTACAGTTTTGACTGTGCTTCTACTTTGTATTATTATTATATGGAATGAACACCAACTGATTAAGGCTACAAGTCAATTCCTTGTTTGTAATACTGTATCCAAGAAAGTACATTGTTACTGCTAGTAGCAGTTATGAATGTTAAGATTGTATTCTATTCATTCAGCTGACATGCAGCCAAGATTTCTCAACCAGCAAGGCAGTAAGTTCTTTGTGTGCCTTTGATGGAAGGTGCCTCTCAGGAAGGTGGCTGGGTTCTTTAGCATGCTTAAGGTGTGGCTGTCTTTGAACAATGGACCAAGGGATTGACAATCCTTCAAAGTATGCAAATCATAGAGTTAAGCAGACAGCTTTCTTTTCTTCTGGTGGAATGGCTACCCCCTACATGGTGCTACCAAGCCATTCTAGAAACACCTGAAGGGCAAACTCTTTTATTCTGTCCCAGTCATGAGATGTTGTTCATTATTTTCCTCCTCCACACAGAACCCTCACCGGAACCCTCACCCGAACCTCCGCCCCCGCCCAAGCCCAAACGCGAGATCAAACCGCGGCAGCCGATCAAGAAGCTGGTCACCAGGCCCCTCACGCCCCCAAACCCCCCACACCGTCGCCTCCCCCACCCCCACGTGAGCCGACACCACCGCCCCCCTCACCGCCCAGACCCCCCACCCCCCTACCTGACTTCATCGCACAGTTCGATGGGACAGACTGGTACAAACAGTTCTTCTCGGACCCCAAGGTGAGACAAGAATCTGGTTTTATGAAACAAGTTTAAACTGTAATTTCCAACACAAGAAATTGGACTCACCCAAATTTTCGACTGTGCAACTCCAGTCTTTGTCAAGGAGTGAACAACACCAATTTTTTGTGTTGGAAATTGCTGTTCAAATTTGTTTCATAATGCCTTCTACTAAGTTACACAGATGAACTTTCAAGATGAGAAATCTGGTTTGATAAAAAATTTATGAAAGGAAGTACAGTTACAAAAATACACTTCTCATTAAAATGCATAATAGTCTGTACCTTCAATTGGGAACTTATTGAAATCCATTTGACTTGATAGAAGAAAATTACAATACCAGGTATAACAAAGGAGTATACTTTGATGCTATTTCAATTATCTTGTCAATCTTTGAGTTACATGTACCTTCTTAGCGTTGTTTTGTGAATGGCGTTACCAGTAGTTTCTAACATATATAGATAGACAATTGATGGACACGTATCTGAAAACCAAAAATAGGCCCTTGGGTCATGCACATGCATTAATTGAGTTATTTTTCTTTGCGTGGAAGAACATCTCCAAGCCGTGGACCATGCAGTCGTATCTGAACAACCTGTTACGTGTGCTGAGGATAGCAGACTGGCCACACAAGGCAGGGATCGTGGACGCCATCACCCTGCTCCACTCACAGGAGAACTTCACCAACATCGCAGATATTGTCAAGGTTAGGGTTAGGCTTGGCGTTAGGGTTAGGGTTAGGGTTAGGCCTGCTCCACTCACAGGAGAACTTTACCAACATTGCAGGCAGTGGTCCAAACACTAACATCATCATAGCTTGCACAGATAAAAACAAAAGCAAAGAAATCACACAAAAATGTTCTTGTGACATTAGCTTTTTGTCAATATTTTTATACCCAAGTGGACATGATGAGGTGCTTAACGATTCTTTGACTTGAAGAGATAAATGTTTTATTTGTCAAAAAAGATTCCTGAGAATTATAAATTCCATCTAAATTTTTTAGTGCTTACTGTCTATTAATTGTATTTCAATCTATAGATTGTTTTTGTTATAAATCATATGAGTTGTAATTAATTAATTTGTGATTTTCTCTTGTCAGGTTGTTTTGGATTTCCTGAGTGGCCCTCCTGCACCAAACATACGTGACCCCAGGGAGAGACCATTCGTGGAGTCCGCCCTGAAACTCCTGAACGCTCTCCGCATACAGAGTAAGGAGTTTGTCCTGGAACTGATGGCGCTCTACTTGGAAAATGACTCCGAACTACGGTAAGCACCTTAAATGTCAAATTGAATCATTTTCGCTCCTAACTCCATGAAAAATGGTTAGCTTCCAGGCCAGTATGTGTTTAACTGTCTAGGACTAGGAAAAAAATGTATTGCATTTCCTGTTTCAGTCCTGAAAAAATTACTTTGTTTTCTAGACTTTGGCAATCCCTATATAGGGATCCAACTTATACAAATTAGATTAACCAAGTAAAACTTATAGTTTCAATGTCAATGTTGGAAAACCGATTGTACAACATTTCATCACTCAGGTGTCAGATTATGGAGCTAGAATGTCCCTTTTTGGGGTCCACCCCAAAAAAAGGCTAGGGTTGGCAGTTTTTTTCTAGGGTCGGTCAGGAAACAGGAAACACAACATTTTTCTTCTAGGCCTTACCACGTTCCTGATACATGTACTTGATACATGAGACAAATTACTGATCACTCAAGACAAATAACCTCCTCAGGCCTCGAAGTTAACTTTTCTTCCTATTGTCCCAGCACTGTCCCAATAATGAATTTCAATTGTCCCAAAGTGATAATGAACTGCCCCAATCTGTTTTTTGGGAAGTATTGTATGACTGCAACTTGAAGTCAACTTTATTTTGCTTAAGTTCTGACTGCCATGTGCACTATGATTGCAGAGTAGACAGGAAATTTGGGGGGACTGATAAACAAAAGAAAGGCTGACATTCTGATGTTGATTATTTTTCTATTGTCCCAAAAATGTCTCAGGGTGTCTTTTTAGCTGTCCCAGTCTAAATTTTAATGGTCAGTGGCCATCGGACCACCTTTAATGTCGAGCCCTGCTCTTGATCATGATGTATATTTTTTGCAGCCTGCTAGTCCACAAGATCCTGAGTGACATCGGCATGCAGGATCCTCACAGGTACTTTTTACCGGGAGATGGACACCTGGACTGTGACAGGGGAGAGCCACTCCATGCTGAAAAACATGGCGGAAGGGTGGCTGGACACTTGGATGGGCAAGTTCAAGGTAAGAGCACTTTGCAAACATGTGGGGCTTGGCCTTACATGTAGGAAAGTTCATCAAAATGTAAGGAAATGCTGGTCTTGTTGCTCAAACAATGTGTGAAGTTTTTGAATACAGTAAATTGTTGATTTTGAAGGAATGACTCAATGCCAGGTTTGCCTAAGTTGATGCTAGTAAAAAAATGATTTTACCCTGTTCATGTAATAGCTGACAGGTTTGTGTTCAGTACTTGGGTCTTTTTGTCTTAAACTTAAAGCCATTTTGACCAACTTTACTTGCAAAGAGTAGGGTGGTGCAGTTTTTCACCTACAGCTTGACAGTAGGAGGCAGAATATACGTCTAGTACATCAGATTAAAGCTTTAAATGTACCTCTACCATCTGTAGGTGCACCTGCAGGCCACGATTGACCAGCTCAAGTCTGGCGGTGTCCAGGGGATGACCAGACTGCCCACCAGACCAGGCCGCAAGGGCAAGGGCATCCTCAAGAAAACACCTGTAAGTAACTACAATGAGTAGCTCCTTTTCGTATCCCATTCTCTAGGACCTACACACACACTGTACAGTTCATTTTCTGTTTTTACTTTTTCATTCTTCTTCACCTGTTGAATATGTTTGTATCCTGTGTTGCAGGATGAGGGGGAACCAAGGAGAAGACTTTCTGGTAAGTCTACATGCTTAATTCATAATTCGTTATTTCAAATTGCTAAATGATAGTTTCACATGAACAACAAGAGAAGACAACAATGTACCAGTAGTGTTACATTTTTATATTCTTGTATACATTTCATGCATCATAGCTGAACATATTCAGTGAACTATTCTAGATTAATTCAGATCTTTTAACATGTTGTAAAATTCTGTTCCATAAACACAGCAACTGTTTATCGCATACTCACTGGAGAGAGCATGGGGATGTAGCCACATCAAGCCTGTTTAAAGAGAACCAGTTCTGTAGAATATCAACTTGAGTTAGCTACCTGGATGCTGATAGATTTTGATTCCTTTCCCCTCACCAGTTACGATAGACGCCCCGCCTGACCAGTCAGCGATCGAGCACGCCCAGCCCATCGAGGCGGTCAACTACTTCTGTGAGCTTGTGCGCGAGGAGGAGCTGGCCAGGATGAGGAAAGCGCAGGAGAAAGTCCCCACTCCCCAGCCGGAGGGAGCCAAGAACACAGTACTGGTCCTGCCACACATTCCCAGGTACAGAGTCGGACTTTCTCAGTTCTAAACACTCGGGGACTGCCCCCATATCAATTTTCAGATTAAACTCTAAGGCCATGTTGATTTGATTTATATGGATGATTTATATGGATGGCATCCGCGCATGAATTTTCTGCCGTTTCCAAAAAAAAAAAGTTTTCAACCATACTGTAAATCGTACAAAACAGTTGTAAAAGGAGCAAATATATACCGTAATTTGCAAAAAAAATATTTGAAAACGATACCAATGTCGTTGGATGCCAAAATCAAACAAAAAAGAACAAAAATGTACCAAAGGGTACCAAACTTGAATTTGTCACGGCATTAGGCAGCTAGAAGAATACAATGTAACTATGAATGATTTCAATTGGTCTGGATATAATAATTATAGATATTTCAAGTAGTTTTTATTTAGACAAAATTTTGTGTTCATGTTTTGGTTAAATGCTGTGTGTGTAACTTAAGGAATGTAACCTGAACATACATTGTATGAAATCTTATAGTAACTGTTTCTTGTTTCAAAGCATCTTTTATACTTGAACCTAACTTATCTTGCTCTCCTTTCTGTCTTCTCTGCATCTCTGTTGAAAGGAACTCTTCTCAGGTACTGAAATATGTAACTAGGATGTATTAACAGATCCTTGAAACATGTGCATTGTCAGCATAATTAATTTGTTATGCCTATTTGCATTGAATCTTGGAGGGAAGGGGTACAACTAGTTGTGCATCCAGTGGAGTTATGTGGGAAACCTGGATCATATTTTAGTCTATACATCTCTGACCATACATGTATGTTCCCATTGGAGATTAAGCATATTATACAATGTACGTGAGCTTTACTGTGCCTTCTGCATGTTCTGACACTGAGTATCTGTTCTTAACTCCACAGTAAGGGGAGCCTGTTACGTCTGGGAGAGACTCACACCAGTAAATGTCATAGACACAGGGAGACAGGCCTGGCAGGTGAGATATATATGATTTATCTATTTCAGGCTATCTTAGACATCTACATGTGTGTGAACATATTTAGTAAATCATGTGGACCAACAACGTATTGGAATGGTATCTGTTGAAGTTTATTCAGACTTAAGTGAGGGTAAACATTTTAAAAAATTTAACAAAAATGGGAAATGAGGATCAAACTACTTTTTGTACAGCCTGCTAATATAACTGTTTGACACCAAATTTGTATAAATTGTTTATGGGGTTAGGCAGTAGGAAAAAGGTTAAAAGCATTCATTTGAATCACTCACAAATGCATATTCTTACTAGTATTAACCCCAACTAAACTTCAGACTGACCTTGACTCATTGGACACCTGGGCCGAAACGAACTCCATGTTACTTAACCCCAAAAAATGTAAAGCAATGTATTTCTGCTTCATGAGAACCCCCCCAGTAATGCAGCCACTGACTCTCGGAGGTCAGCCACTTAGCATAGTTACACAAGCAAAGTTACTTGGTTTGCACATACGCTCTGACCTACGGTGGTCTGATCAAGTTGACGCCATGGTGTCCAAGGGCAGTAGAAGGTTATACTTATTAAGTAGGCTGCGTCGAGCTGGCCTCCCAAGCTCTGACCTTGTCACAGTGTATTGTGGGTATATTCGACCAATAGTTGAATATGCCACGCCCTGTTGGAATGCGGGTATCACAAAAAAACAATCTGACAGCATAGAAAGAATCCAGAAAAGGGCATGCAGAATCATGCTGGGTAGAAGCTATCACTCGTATTCCGAGGCCCTGTCAACTCCTGACCTCCAACGTCTGTCTGAACGGAGACTGACCCTGTGCCGGGCCTTTGCCCTTTCAGCCACTAGGTCTAGGCACGCCCCCTGGCTACCTGCAGACAGTAACCACCCACACAATATGCAGCTTAGGCAAACACGGCGATACAAACTACCCAAAGGGACACAAAGATATCTACATAGCCCGGTTCCCTCAATGTTGCACATTTTGAACACCTTGGACCTATAGTAGATTATTTTTTTTATAATAGCTGTATATTTTGTAATAGTGTTTTATCTTATGTTTGTTGTAATAGTTTTTAGCTATATCATGTAATTTGTAACCGAGCCTGTATTTGTAACGCCGTAATTTTAACGTAAAAGTGCAATAATCTAGTGCAATAAAAGTGCAATAATCTAGTGCAATATTTGATGCTTATGTTTAAGTTATGTACATGTTAAATATATTCTACCTGTGTATCCCATTGTAAAAGCTGCCCAATTCAGCCTGCGGGCTGCAATTAGCAACTTATATGTATGTTGTATGCATGTTCCTTTCGAAATAAACCAGTCATAAATTTTTCAGCAGATCCTTTATGGTATGATCTATTATGCTAAGAGTTTTACAGACACACATGTATGTGACTCTTACACAGACACAAATAACTCTTACACAGACACAAATAAAACCATAGACATGTGAAGGTAGACATTATGCATTTGCAAATGCATAATGTCTACCTTCACATATAGTCTGCTCTGTTAATTCTTACTCAAACACATCCATATATACAATGTCATGTATAGTCAGACAGGAGTCTAAATCCCTCCTGCTATAAAATTGCAACATGATGTAACCCAACACTAGTTACCATGGTGACAGATGTCTGGTTCAGGTCATTGAACTTATTGGTTTGGAGAAGAAGAAGAAGAGGAAACATCTAGCAAGAGCAATATGTAAACATAACTAAGTAACATGGTGCTATGATATGATAGACATTTTCCTCCATTCCACAGACGTGACCCTCCCCCCTATCCTGCCCAAGCGTAACCTGGTGGAAGGTTTCACGCCTTTCCTGTCCTTCCCCACCAAGAAGATCACCATGAACCCGTTCCCCAGCCCTGCTGACTGGTACTACGAGGAACTCCAACAACCCATCCTCATCACCCTCAAGACGGCACCCAAGTACTTTGTCCATGAGCTGTCATATCTACATGAATGACAATGACATACATGTAGCAGTGTACTATTAAAGGGCTCCAAATGCTTTCTTTGTACCTGCACTGGTGCAGGTAACACTGAAAGCTAACTGGGATAGTTTGTAAAGTAAAACCCAGTATCCTTCCTGAAAGAGACTTTCAATTCCAAAGTTGTACCTGCTACAGGTCAAATTTGAATTTGAATCTGAAGTTTTATGGACATTGAAACACATATCATACTGTGTCTGCGACCAAGTATATGTTCCTATTCGATACAAATGTGCCAGTTTATAAACTGTTGTCAAATATTTTATGTTGTACATGTACATGTACATGTATATTGGTGTGTAATCTAGTGCCCGGTAACTCAAAATGTGCAAGCTATAACAATGAATGCTGCTCGTAAGTTGTACATACTTTTTTGTGTTTGACTGTTACATGTAAGTATCAATGTAGTGTTGCAGTACTATTACTGTTACTAACAGTTCTATTCTTGTGACTAAAGGTATTGTTAAGATCTAATGAATACAACAAAAGTATGTAATGTCTCTATGTAAGAAACATTTTATGATAATGATGTAAATATTAAGTAACAGTTAATCTTTAAGATTAAAATTCATGCAGAACGAGTATTGTTGTTTGTACATTGATTGATCAACCCTATATCACATTATGCTATAGTAACAGTACCAGTTAACATTAATTCTATTCAGCTATTAATACATCAATTTGTGCAAATTAAAATCACTGTTGACACTGTTAAATGATTTTGATCCTATGGAATCTCCAAACCAATAGATATTACTCTGATCTACTTATCTAGCCTGTTGTCTACATTAACAATATTATTTGCTTCTTTTCCAGTTATAAATTTAAACAAAACATCTCCTGCATTAGAAATCACCACCAGTACACAACGTAAACCTAAAGACGAGAGGTTCAAAGCGACGAAATCTTGTGTCACAGCGACGAAATCGCAGTTCTATCGCTGTGACACTGGCATAAAGAAAATCCTAAAGCTGTAAAATATTTTTATCATCCATTTGGTATTGCAACCCAAATTATGTACAACTGTGGCGTCTGTGTGGTGTAGTGGATAGAGCATTAGACTGTCAAGCAAGGAGACCCAGGTTCAATCCCTATATAGGGTTGGACCCAGACATGTTCGGACATGCACCCAAACGTTGTGCCCTTGGGAAAGGCACTTAACACATATTTTCTCCCTCAGTTAGAGGGTTCCTGGGCCCTATGAGGGTTTGGGTTGGCGTTAGGAAGGGCATCCAGCCGTAAAAATCTTGCTCAAAAAAAAGAGAGAGAGAGACTTGCATTTGATGCAAGCACGTCTAACACCCGTTTCGGGGAAAAATGTACAACGCTGTTCCTTACACTCTTCAGTCATAGTAGCATGTAATCTATACCCTTTTGAAACAAATGTACACTTAAAGTAACCCTTGGTTATATTATATTCTCTCTGTCACGTCACGGAAGAGCGAAACGATCTTTCACAGCCACACGGTCCTTCCGACGGGTACAACTGTAAAAAAAAAGAAAAGTGACTATTACTTTCCTGTGGCATACATGTGGCATATACATGTATATGCTTTAAAATTGCCCATTAAAGGCAACTAATGTAATTTTAGGACGCAAAACAAAAAATACTTTGGATGAGGAAATCTGAAAAAAAATCTGAGCAAAAATCGTATCTAAATTAAGTGCATTGAAATGATACAGTCTCACATGGTCAGTTCTATGGTACACGTTCTTGACCAACTTGTATTATTTTTGAGATGTGCAAAATAATGAAACCCCTTATGAATGAGAAAATATAATAGCTGTCAGTTATAGACGTATGCATGTAAAAGATTCAACAATTAAGGGTTAATGACCCGCCCCGAGGTGAATATGGTGTGATAAAGCCTTGGCAGTTGCTATAACCACCGAATAAAGCCATCGAGTGAGCTTTTTCCGTAACAAATTGATGAAAAGTTGAGGCGTATAAATTATTTTGTTCTTAAATGTCTCGCATCCATTCATTCATTTATTGATTTCTATCATATTTACTAAAATGGTCCAACATAAGTGGAAAAATGCATACTAGCAAAACAAGAAATCGCATACTATATTAGTCAGTTGCTTCAGATAGCATCAACTATCTTTCTGAATATGAGTCACTGATGAAAGATAGTGGATGCTACACGATATGTATCATTCTTTAAATTTTCCTGACCAGTTGCTTACTTCATACCATATGATTGTAACCTCCATCAACGTACCTTGGAAAATAGACGGATCTCCCCTGAGCTGGAGAAAGCGTTCCGTGTCGGGCTTCAGTCGCAGCTCCTCCTCATAATTTTCGGCATCTGTCTTCTTTTCAGTTATTTCGCTAATCCCCATCATGTAGGCAAGTCCTACAGAAAATTTGACAGAATAATGTTCAAAAGAAGTGAATGTCTGCAGGTCTTGCATGTGTGCCGTAAAAATTTGATTAAATTTCATCAGGTCACATTCAAAAGCAAAGATTATTTTTTTCAACTTGAGGTTTGGCATAAATTATTATCTAATCTATTTTTGTGGAGACTTAATTTTTCAATAGGACAGGTTTTTTTTCAATTTAATTTCTCTAGTACAGTATGTAGCAATACAATGAGAATAATGTTATCCGGTGTCATGGTTATGTGAACACTGCAAAAATAAAACGAAACGATCTACTATTTCTAACATTCTGTATTCAAAACTTAATTGATCAATGTTTCACGGAAGGGCACCATCATGGTTTCAAATGGCTGGCGTGTTTCAAACTAAACAGTATTATTAATTGACTTTACTCACCACGTATGTAGCTGGGGTGAGTATCAGGTAACACTTGTCTCTTCAGGTCCATCGCCTTTTGGTATAGCGGCAAGGCTTCGCCATACTTCCTCTGAAGTACCAGGTTTCTAGCTAAGTTGGTGTAGCCTATTAAAAAGTTGTGAAACGATTTTAATCACTAAAATCATTGTTCAGTTTTGCTTCTTTGTTACTTCTCTGTATGGGAGGTTTTTGCTTGTGATGCATTTTTCTGTTTGTTTTGTTTGTCGGTAGTTATTTGAATACAACCATAGTGTTATAGGAAGGGAGGGAGAAAATGGGGTAATGACACACTGATAGGCAGAAGGTCAAATTTGAAGGTCAAATTGAAGCTCCAACAGGCTGTGAGTGACAGTGTAATATGTACATCAGCCAGTAGCTCAATAAAATAAATAAACTAGAAAGGCCGACATTTGCTCAGGAGCAAATGCAGCAGATGGCTTCAACACTTCCCCCGTCCCAGAAATAGGAAAATTTACCCAAACAAATACAATTTAATGTACTCACTGATAGCAAGAGATATGTGCGGTATCCCTTTGTAGAACGTCTCTTTCATTTCCACACTTCGTCTCAGAAGTGTGTCAGCCTTGCTCCACAACTCGAGTGCCTGGTAGAAGATCCCCAGGCTGTGGTATGCTGTAAGCCCCCAACATTGGTGTCATATATATACAGGCACTACAATTGCAGCATATATCATAGATTACAGCATGCCCGTAGCCAGGATTTTGAATGGGGGGGTTCTTCCCATTGCTTGAGGGGACCTCTAGCGCCATAGGCGCGAGGCGAGCGCCAAAGGCGCGAGGTTCCTAGGGGGGTCTGGTGGCATGCTCCCCCAGAAAATTTTGAAAAATGAACCTTCTAAAATGGCATTTCTTGCGTTTTTTAGAGGATTTCAAAGAAAAAATCAGAGATAAATTTTTGTTCAATGACAAAGGGAGCAGTTTTTCTACGATTCCAGTCCATCTTTTCAAGAAAAATCTTGGACCTTTACATAAAATGTGGACCAAAAAGTGGACCTTTACATAAAATGTGGTCCCAAAAAGTGGACCTTTACAAAAAAAGTGGACCAAACCCCCGAACCCCCCCCCCTGGCTACGGACATGTTCACATAAACATTGTGGTCACTTATGGTAATTTAAACGGCAAATTGTAAACGAGAACACCTATCCAAAGTACCTGTAAATGGAAATGTGTTTTCTAAAATGGTGAATAATTATTCTATAGATAAGGTGACTTCGATAGGGCCAGAGATCTTACACTACTAAATTAGTGTTGAAAGAGAGAGGTGATCACAATATTACTGTTTTAATACTCAATTTGATTACATCAGGTTGCATATAAAATTTACCTTAAAAAATTATGCTTAGTCTTGTGACACACTCAGTGTAAAATGTAATCTATGCTTTTTAGAGAAAAGCTCCCTGTCAAGATAAAAACAAATTACTTACCCACTGCAAGTTCACAATGGCATGAAAGCCCCTGAGCCTTCATCCACTGTTCCTTCAAGTTCAGTGCCTCCTCCAGTAGAGTGTGGATTTCATCCTTTCTTGGGCTGTTAGTGAGCTCATGCTGTTCTTGCAGGAACATGGATCTTGCCAGGCACTGAATTCCTGACAATGACATGAAATTTGTATACATGAAGTTCAATATATTTTCTAAGCAGCGCGTTTTCACTAACACCATCAACTGAATCACTACAACTATGACTAACCCAACACACGTCACTATACCGAACACACCTCACTACCGAGGTTAAAGCCTGGTGTCCTTATGGTTGGGCGTCCTGGTGGTTGGGGCTGGCCCTCTTCGGGGCTCGAGTAGTTTTCACCCCGACCAGCTCAACTGGCTGCTAGGTGAGAGTTCTGCACCTTTAGGTCAGTATGACAGGAGTTGATTAACCCCACCAGAAGGGCTATTTAATTTAACCCCCATTGTGCAAACCTACCAGGCAGCCTAACAGGGCTCCTGTAGCCCAGAAGAAAACCGTCCAAAAGCACGATAGAAAGGACATGCTATCAGAGTTGGCACCTTCCTCAAATTTAATGATCTACCACCTGAGAAGTACATGTATTAGAGGTCATATGTCAACTCTGGGACAGGTGCATGCATCACTGTGGCTTCCCGAATCCCCAGGATGGCATTGTCTCGTGCTGGTGTCTGGTAAGGCCAGCTATATATTCTTACCCATTTCCAAGCTATAAAAGGAGGAGGCACACAAAATGATGGATTCTACTTACCTTTTCCAAGTTCAAGGTCATGAGTTTCCCCCGTGACTTTATGCTCTCTCAGGATCTCAACAGACTTAGCGAACATTTTCTCTGCTTCGCTGTCCTCTTCCACTTCCACCAGTACCTGTCCAAGTTCTCTCTCCACTTGAAAGAAAGAATAAAGACATACTTACTTAAGAACTTGTTATGCACAGTGTGTCTACTTTTACCAATTGTATCCATGTATATTACACCTTTGTAGTCAAGAGACAGAAACATTTTCATGATCAAAGAACCTAAAAAAACATTTATTGTCTGCTAGTACTAGCACCACATTTGAACTGAAATTGAAGTACTAGACTGAAATATACATTTAGGTGCAGGTAACAAGAAATACCAGAGGACAGAATCATACACTATCTCTGACTTACCCATTGCCAACTGCAATGTATCGTCTGACTCCATTAGAAGTGACAGGGATCCCTCCAGCATTGGTTTGGCCATCTCTGCCTTCCCTTGGCGCCTGAAACAGCTGCACACAGCTGCGATGAGAGGATGTGGGTCAGCACTCTGGGTGACACGAAGCTTCATCTCTCTCTCCAATTTGAACAACTTCTCACATGCCTTGGTGATGTGAGGGATCAACAACTGATGGCTGCTCTTGAACTTCTTGTTGAAGTTGTCACCATCTTGAAAGAATTCTTTGGTCGGGAAGGCTTTGGTCTGTAAAGCAAGAATTTCGAGGTAGCAGCTTGTCATTTCGTCAACGGTCATCTGCCAATATATGACATCTTGGTACAACGGATGGATGTTGAATGTCCTTGCTGCAGCTGTCCTCTTTTGACTGCCATTGGAGCAGACTGCATGGAAAGGCCATGGGCTGATGAGGGAGCAGCGCTCTAGGGTCTCCAATATTACTTTCAGGTTTGACGTGACGTTATCTTCAATTTCTCCTGACTCAGAGTTCACTGATGGACTTGGAAGCAGGAAAGATTTTAACGTCCCTTCCGGTACGGCATGTGCTCCCCAGACAAACAGGTGCTCGGGAATCTTGTCACTGGAGAGGAGGGAAATACAGCGCAGCAGAGCTCTGGCAGCTGGAGGGAGTGTGTCCACAGTGAGGGAATAGGCCGTCAGCACGCTACCCCTGTGCTTGTTTGGCTGAGCCAGATGTTCGATCGATGGAGTGTCCAGTTCTTCCTGAAAGATGGCGACGTCTTCGTCATCCATTCCAACTCTAAGCAGGTCTACGTGTTTGAGCTTGTACAATGATCTGAGATCATTGCCTGCAAGCTCCTGCAGCTTAGGATAATGCTTGTCAAGTTGGATTGACTTTAGCCAAACCTCCAGATTGTCCTCCTGTGTATCTGAAGGAGGCAGTGCATCCTTCAACTCAGATGTCCTTTCTTGAAACATCTTCTTATACTCCTGAAATGTCATCCTATTTGTTCCACAGCCGATTCTGGCAACAGCTTGCTGTAGCGCCAATGGAAGCCCTCGAAACTCTACTGCCAGGGTTCTCAAGGCTTTAAACTCAGCAGAGTTTTCCTCGTTCAGCTTGATCATCTGTTGTTTTGCTTCCTCATTTGTCATTGGACGAGACGTTCCTTTGATCAGCATCAGCATTGACTCCTCCTCACCAAGTAGGCCTACCTTGATGGTGACGTGAATGTTGTTCCTTCTGAGGTTGCAGCTGTTCTCCCTGCTTGTCATCAGAACGTCCCCTTGCTTGGGCAGCCCTGCTGGAAAGGACATCTTTAACACGGCCAAGTCGTCGCAACTGTCGACAACGAGGAGCCAATCAGAGTGCGTCTCTAGCCAACGTCTCACCTCGCCACAAATTTGGGATGAAGTCTTGTCCTTTCCTTGTAGGTCTAATCTTAGTCTGTTGAACTAGACGGTGAGATGGAAATAGAAGGAAAATATTTCGATCTAGTTTTGGCTTACTAAAAACCTGAAGTATCAGACTGAGTATATTGTCAGTATCAGATGGTTTGCCAAAGGAATGTTAAAAATCGTATAATAGTAAATTTATTTGAACTTCAAGTACAATGTCAATTGCAAGTACAATGAAAATGATAAAGTTATAGTAGGAAACACAATAAAAATGAACATTAAGTAGATTAAGAATCTTTAACTTATGCTACCTCTAATTACGATATTGTTGGGTTTGATTTCTTTGCTGTATGAAGTGGAGTGCCTAACGTTTAAGATATATGAATTGGAAGTGGGAAATACAGTTTTTTGTACGCTGGAAATACGTATTTCGATATCTCTTTCAGTGTTGTATTGTGGGCAATTGCAAATAAAGCACATTTCATCGTCCACTGCTTTTCCTGTAGTATTTACAATTCTATATTATTATTATATCATTAAAATGTACTTGTTTGTATCAGAACTTTTTTTTCATTAAGATTGTGGGGCTGACACTCTTACATCAAAGTCTTTGATATGAAGATACCCCATGTTGTACATAGATTTGAGATTATATACTGTAGTGTGTGAGTGTCTTACAATCAGTCTCATGCAGGTGTCTATGCTCGCAGCTGTTTCTGCATACAGGTAGAACACCCCGCCTGGGTACTCCTCATTGTACCTCTCTGCGTACTGGATTGCAAGTTCTGTCTTTCCAACACCAGCTACGCCATGTAAGGCCTGCAGAACAACATTACACGCAGTGTGTTACACTCTGGGTACAGTCAAACATGGCCGCACGCAAGGGACCGCGCAAAAATGGTTGGTGAGGGGAGGTGGTTGCTCCAGGCAAATGGTTTATTGAATAGCCCCCCCCCCCAAAAAAAATTTCTTTCCAGGAGACATAACTACAAGTTAGAGATGCAGAGGAAAGAACCGACCATGTCAAAGGCCAAAAAAATTCTAGATGGGAACTATGCGGGTCCAGATCTCGATTAGATGCATTTAGGCATGGAGCTGAAAAAAGTCGCTACTCATGGTTGCAATTTGGTATGATTGTTTAGCAGAGAGACTGTTTTTACTGTCGGACGCTTCTGACTGGATGTGGTAGCAGACTGTCGCAGAAGTTGATATTAATGATGATCAAGTTCACCATTTGACTGTTACTGCATCATTTTTATGTTTTACATGTCACAACTGAAAACTGCTGAGCTGTAATGGGGCCTAAAATGTTTTCTAATTAAAAAACACTGTGGAAACGTGTTACAATAGCCAAGAATACATGCATAGTAATTACATTATTGCTAACATAACCTGAGGGAGAGAGAGCGAGTGAAGGAGAAAAGAAAGAATAAATTATTTAAAATCATGTTGATGTCATGGATCCAAACCTGAACCGGGGGAGTGTTGGCCTTGAAATTCTCATGAAGTTCGCTGAGGATGTCCTCATGCAGACAAGGGGTGAAGATTGGATTTGGCCGTCCCATTGCAGGAACTAGAACATCATTTATGTGATTCATCGGACATAATTTACCCCAAAACACCAGCTAACTAAAAACTATCAAACAAAATTTAATGCTCAAAATTGAATTTCTTAGTAATCCACTAAAAGAAAAAATGTTAATTTTACTGTACTCTGATACAGTCAAACTTGCCCAAGCAACCACATCTGTATAAGCCAGCCATCTGACCAGAATGATCGTTCTTTATCGATCCCGCTTTTCCTCTCTTAGACATAAAGCACGTACTGAGGAACTTAAAGTCGACCACTTGTCCAACGCAACCTCGACCAAAAATGGACCAATATTTGCCTATGACGACTGCGTCATTTTCAAGCATGTAGCAGAAAACATTTTTTTATGTCTACTATAACCATGGAGGTTTTACCTCCATGCTATAACTAAAAATCTTGATGGAATCTGCCAGTTAAAAAATAGACAGTCTTTGCGCAATGTAAAATGGCACCGCCTGGGTCATGTTTGAACATGGGTGGTCTGATGTACAGTTGCATTTCTTGTTCTCTGTTTGGTTGGTCTTCTCGCTATGTTGTTTGTATAAGAAGACCACTTGACTGAAAAGACCAATGTTTCCTCTGTCCCCTGGATGGTCGTCTTAGACAAGTTTGACTGTACATAAAATATTTCATTAAGTTGTAATGTGTTTTTTTTTTCAATTTGCAAAAGAAATCGGATTCCATTTGCAGCTGGTAAAATAATGTATTTAAATGATAATGATTGAATGTGTTTCTTCTACTAACAGACATGATTCACAGATTACATGTATGATTACCTGATGCACTGCCTGGACGCTCCACAGGAGGTTGGTTTTCTCTTGCGTCCACCGAATTCTTGTCTCCAACAATAATGACAGCATTGTCACCTGTCTGGAACACCATGCTTTCATTGCCTGTCACGCTGGCCATCTGCACAGCGCTAGCACTTCCTATGATTAAAGAACGATAATAAATAGCTATTAGAGTTGACATTTGATCTAAATTTTGAAATGAGTACGCCTGCAGTTCCAAAACAGGTTGCTAGGGGGGCAATTAAGAACTACTACAGTAAGTATACTTCTTTCTGATGACTGATGAATGATAGGACTTTATAACATATGACATATATAACTTTGATGAAGGGAAAAATTATTAGATTTAAATTATGCAAATCAAGACCCTATTTGCATAATTGATAGGAAAACAGTAATACGTTACGGTCTCGGGCCGGAGTTTTTTCACCATATTGGATCTGGCAGACACACTCCGACTCCAGTCAGGCTACAACTCCGCCAAGAAAAGTATGCCGGGAAATCTCATTATATCAGTGAACGGAGGTTACCAGCCGGCTTCCGATAGGATTTTGGTTATCGTCTGACTTGACTCTACAATATGGGTTACATAAGAAACTGTTAAGTCAAATGTAAATTTTGAATACGAAAAATATAGTTTTTTTTTCAGTTTTTTCAACGGACCTGCCTGGAAAAAACATTTCCCAGGGTAACGGCTAAAATGCGGATCTGAAATAGCTTACTACTTCGTGGAACTCTTGTTATCATTCACATTAAAACATTGCATTTTGCATTACCTTCTTTTATTGGTCCCATAATTCGGGTTGAACGGGTCCCTACTGTTGCTCCATTAACAGCACTGGGTGAACAAAATTTTTAATATTAGTCAGGACGAATTTGAACAAAACTGACAATAAATTCAAGACCTGACATCGATGTCTCTGTAAAATAATTGTAATCTAATTGACCATCACATTATTGTGAATTTCTTGCTAACTGTCTAATGCGTTTTCCCACTGGGTCCCACAAGGTAACCATTTAGTGAGATATGCAAATTGAAGACGGGAAATGAATTATCCTTATCTTGGACCTTCTACCTAACTCCCTAGTGAACATTTTTCAGCCAAACATAAAAAAATCAAGGGACACAACTACAACTTGTCATTACTGTATTTACACTATATCAAAACCGTATTTGGATATCGCAAACTGCAATGTAACACAATTCTTAACTCCGTAATATTCCGTAGAGGTATAAGCTCTCCGAACTGGTGTTTAAGTATTACTAAGTATTAATCAGTGGTTCCTTACCCATTATCCTGGTGTTCAGTTACTTCCGAAGTTTTGTACTCCATCTTGAATCCTGCTCAGGGCCATTCAGCTCATTCACAATTTGTCTGTAATAAACATTAAAACTGTCTAATTGATTAATATACAGAAACTTAATATACGTACTGTACACGTACACCATCCTGGTAGATCTTCTAAATCTGGATGATTATTATAGCAAGCTAGAGTTCTACAAGCAAGAGTTAAATAAAGGGTTAATGCCCCACCCTGAGGTCTATATGGTGAGATAATCATAGTCCGGGATCACAAGATATTATAACTGGAAGTCCTGCTGCAGTACCAACAAAAGCTGCCAGGGGACCCAAAATCTAATCATTTCTGGGTTTCATCAAGATCTACCCACCTACCAAGTTTCATGACAATGCTTGAATGCATAAATTATAAAGTTTCTTGAGTTCACAGATGGACAGACAGACAGACAGATGGACAGATGGACAAATAGACAAACGCTACTGAAAACATCACCTTTTTGGCAAAGGTAATAAACACCACCTAAGGGTCTTTATCTTCTTTAACAAGTTTGGGGCCAAAGCTGACAAACATCATTGTCCAGACAGCACTGTAACTTTATCCGTAGTGACTATAGCAACAAGTGACTATGACGTCATTGTTTTCCCACCCCCATATGTTGCCAGGTAGCAACCCATACAAACGCAACCCCTGAAATCGTGGCATGTAGTCACTTGCCCCTGAGTCTTGTGAACAATAGCCTAGATATGACAACCTCGATAGCCTCCACCATGTACCAGGGATACGTATCATAGATTCGCCAAAAGGGAAAGAGTTCGCGCCAGCAGAGTTAGTCTGCGGGCAAATGACAAAACACACCACTGGCTAATTATGCTCCTTATTTGGCTACATTTTAATTAACGTTTCTGAGCCCGCGGTGACGTCATTCTGGTAGAGACAAATCGTTTGACACTTCAGGGGCCCTTTGAAACGTTCACCCATTGGCAAGGAGTTCAACACAAGGCCTTGTGTTGAACGTCCTTGGTTCACCAAGACTGCCTGGGGCTATATGATATCGATTACGTTTCAGCAACAGCAACACGTTTCACAGTTTCCTTCTATCAGTATAGCACATACATAACTCACGTCACGGTTGTCTGAACAGTGAATAGCAGAGACGCTAGCGAATGGCACACGGCACACATATTGATTGTGAGTAGTATGTGCTTACCTGCACTACGGCCCGGCTGTAACGACGCAGTCATATATGAATTGCTGTAACCTGCACTCCTTGGATCAAGTAAATCTAGTGGGGGAGAGTTTAGTAGCTCGGGTGGTGTCCCGTGAGTCCAGAAGAAGAAGAAGTAAATCTAGTCCACTTTCATTTTGCAGTATATATGGCAAGAAATCGGACATAGAAAAACAAGGCTCATTTTAGAATCTTACAGCAAATCTTACAGCAAATAATACTTCAAATATGATTGTACCCAAGGGAATTTGTCATTCTAGGTCGCTATTTACTACATTAATCATTTAGATTATGTTTTCCATTATAGACAGATTGATTTTTCTGCATCTTCTCGACATTGGTCATTAAACACTACGGTTAGTAAAGAGACGTGCACATAACTATTCTAAAGAACGTAAATCTGCTATCTTGCAGTCCAAGACACTTGGCAGCTGGCACAGGAAAACAAGCCACTTTGGTGTATGCCACGAATCATTAAGCTAAAACCAAACAAGGCTTTTTCAAATCTTACAAGTGTTTCTGCCTACAGCACACACAGGTTCTTGAAAAAAAAAAAAACAAGGCTCTTTTAGATATTACATATTACAGACACGGATTATTAAACACGATTAAGGTCTTTAATCCTATGCCTACATCTCACAGGTTGTTTAAGAAAACCCAAGCCTTTTCAAATCTTACATCTTACTGACACGGGAAATTAAGCACGATAGTAAATTTAACAGAGAAGGGCGTAAAGGTCTTGATCAAGCACGTGTCTCTGTTCTGGGAGAGAAAAAAACCAAGGCTTTTCTAAATCTTACATCTTGCATATTACAGACACGGGTCATTAGGCACGATGGTAAATTTGACAGGAAGGGCGTGAAGGTCTTTAATCCAGCACGTGTCTCTGTCTTCAGCACATGGGTTCTGGGAGAGAAAAAACCAAGGCTTTTCTAAATCTTACATCTTACATATTACAGACACGGGTCATTAGGCACCATGGTAAATTGACAGAAGGGCGTGAAGGTCTTTAATCCAGCACGTGTCTCTGTCTTCAGCACACCGGTTCTGTGAGAGAAAAAAACCCAGGCTTTTCTAAATATTACATCTTACATCTTACAGACACGGGTCATTAAGCACGATGGTAAATTGACAGAAGGGCGTGAAGGTCTTTAATCCAGCACGTGTCTCTGTCTTCAGCACACCGGTTCTGGGAGAGAAAAAAACCAGGGCTTTTCTAAATATTACATCTTACATATTACAGACACGGGTCATTAAGCACGATGGTAAATTGACAGAAGGGCGTGAAGGTCTTTAATCCAGCACGTGTCTCTGTCTTCAGCACACCGGTTCTGGGAGAGAAAAAAACCAAGGCTTTTCTAAATCTTACATCTTACATCTTACAGACACGGGTCATTAAGCACGATAGTAAATTTGACAGAAGGGCGTGAAGGTCTTTAATCCAGCACGTGTCTCTGTCTTCAGCACACCGGTTCTGTGAGAGAAAAAACCCAGGCTTTTCTAAATCTTACATCTTACATCTTACAGACACGGGTCATTAAGCACGATGGTAAATTTGACAGAAGGGCGTGAAGG